GAGAGGATGGTGAGAGGCCGGTAGGACTTGTGCGAGGCCGGGTCCGCCATGGGCCTCCCCCAGAAGTCGTTGACGAGGAGACGCCACAGCGGGGTCGTCCCCTGCACGTCAGGGTTCCCGACCACGGCGCTGAGGTCGTCGTGGACGTAATCGCCGACGACGCCGTTGACGTAGACGACCAGGGACGTCGCCGCTAGCACCAGGTAAAGCTTCGCGGTCGTCGGGACGCCGCGCCGCCCGAGCCATCTGCAGGAGGGGTCGCTGCGGTGCCGTCGCGAGCGATACCGGCGGACCCGCTGCCGCTCCCGGGCGTCGAGCTGCCTTGTTTACAGTTGTGGCGAGGGGCGTGGGTCCCCCGGGCCTCCTGGGCCGGGCGGGGGGGCGGGGGGCAGGGGCGGGGACTCGGAGGTCGCGGGAGGACATGACTTCCGCGAGAACAGGGGCGCGTCCCCCTCTCCCTCGCTCCGGTTCCTCTTCGCCTCCTTCCGCCGGCCTTTCTCCCTCCCGGCGCTGTCGCTCTCGATCCTTTTCTCCTTCGCGGTCGTGTCGGAGTCCCCGAGGGCGTCCTCCTCGTCCTTCCCTTCGTCCCTCCTTCCTCCTTCCTTCGCGCTCTCCTCTTCGCTCTCCTTCCCCGCCCTTCCTCCCTCGCTCGTCGACGGAGGAGAACCATCACGACTTCCCAGAGCCTCGGACCCCAGGTCGCCGCAGGACCAGACGCTGCCGCTGCTGTCCCTCCTTCTCCTCCTCCTCTTCCTCCTCTTCCTTCTCCTCTTGTCCTTCGACTCGCCCTCGTAGTCGCACGAGGACTCGGAGGAGCTCAAGTCCTCCTCGGTATCCTCGAGGACGAGCGCCCCTCGGCCGGCGGGCCCATCCCTCGCGCCGCCCGTCCCCTCGGCGCTCTCGCTCTTCATGGTCCTCGCTATTCTGTCGGTGGGAGGCCCTCGCGCACGCCGGTCTGTGGGGGTGGGGGGGGAGGGGGGTTAGGCTCGGTCGTGGAGCTCCGTCGCTTGTCATAATGCATGAGGGTGATGGATGGCACGCGTGTACATGAACGGAAAGGGAAAGAGGGAGGGGGAAGGGAGAGAAGAAGGGGGAAGGGAGGGGATGGGAGGGAGAGAAGAGGGGAAGGGAGAGAAGAAAGGGGAATGAGATGAAGAGAGGGAGAGGGGCGACACGCCGACATGAACGGAAAGGAAAGAGTGGAAGAGAGGAGAGGAGAGGGAGAGAGAAAGGGCGAAGAGAAAGGATAGGGAAAAGGGAAGGGAGAGAGAGGAGAGTGATGAATAGGCGGGAAGGAACGAGAAAGGGAAAGAGAGGAGGAGAGGGGGAAAGGGAAGAGGGAGAAGGGAGAAGAAGGGGGGAAGGGGAAGGGAGAAAAGAAGGGAGGAAGAGGGAGAGGGAGAGAGAAGGGGAAGGAGAGAAGAAGGGGGAGGGGAATGAGATGGAAGAGAGAAAGAGAGGAAGGGCGAAGAGAGAAGGATAGAGAGGAGAGGTGATGAATGGCACGCCAGTACATGAATGGAAAAGGAAAGAGGGAGGGGAAGGGAAGGTTGGAGAGAGGAAGGGGAAGAGGGAGAGAGGAAGGGCGAAGGAGGGGCGAGGGAGAGAAGAGAGAGAGGAGAGAGAAAGAGAGCGAGGAAGGAAGAGGGAGAGGAAGGGGAAGGGAAGAGGAGGGAGAGGAGAGCGGAAGATAAAGGATAGAGAAGAAGAGGGAAGGGAGAGAGAGGAGAGGAGATGAAAGGCGCGCGTGAACGTTCATGAACATCTTAAGCTCACACTCACATACACACGTTCAACCCCCCAAAATACATTCGCACGCGGTTGCACTGACAAACACACAAACACAGCACAAACACAGGATAATTTTGCCTTTAGGTGCGATATTACAGATTTTCTGACACCATCACGCATACGATTTTCGGTCCGAAATCTGGATTTTTAGTGTCCATATTGGTCTACAAAACCAACACAAAATTCTCCGAGTGTTTACCTGAATCGGAAAGTAAGGAAAAACGACCGTCCGTACGCGTCGAGCCGGGGCATAATCGCCCTTGCGTTCCCCGTACCTAGAGGCGATTGTGCCCCGCGCTCTCTCGCTTTTTGGCCGCGTTCCAGGACTTCCTGTCACGTTCGCCACGACAGGAAAGAAACAAAGTTGCCCGCTAGTATAAACATTCTTTTTCTCTCTTCTTTCTTCCGTTTTTTTTTTCTCTCTCTCTCTCTCTCTCTTTTTTTTTTTTCATTTACGCCAAAGAAACCAAACGCCATTTAGTTAACTTTTCACTTACTCAACTCGACCTCACGCAAAAAAGATAGCCTAAGAAAAACACAGGTTGAGAACGAAATACGGTCAGAGAGAGAGAGAGAGAGAGAGAGAGAGAGAGAGAGAGAGAGAGAAAGCACGAGAGATCAGAGAGACAAGAAGAGAGAGAGAGAGAGACCAAGAAAGAGAGAGAAAGAGAGAAGAGAGAGAGAGATAGAAAGAGAGAAAATATAAAAA